TTACAGATTTGATTTTGGTATAAATGTGAGTCGACAGTTTCATATCCCGATCTAGCTTAATGCCAAGATAGACGATGGAGCGAGACGATGGTTGATTTGTTTTTCTACTTTTAAAAATCTTTCTTGGCGTACTTTTTTATCCTCTTTGAAGTGAAAATACTACAAAATCGATTTTTGAGCTGTTCACTTTAATATTTAAGAGTTCCAGCTTATGTACAATTGTTTGGCAAACAGTCTGGCTTGAGCTAATGCTTTGGTAAAGTTTACACTTGCACTATACCTTAATAGTGATTATATATTAAATATATATAGTGACTATATATATTAATAGTGCACTGATATCACAGGCAATCTTAATAGGCTCCAATCACCTCCTTAAAACTGTTCCTTCACGATAATCCCATCAAATTTTATCCTACCGTCAAAAACCTTGGAATAACCTTCGATCAAATGCTTTCCTGGAAAAACCACGTATCCAATATTTCCCACACGTACCATTTCCACTCTAAAACGTCTAAATTATTATCGTCACCTATTTCCATTTGAAACCCGTAGGCTCCTAGTCACTTCCTTAATTTTCCACCACTTTGACTATTCGCTGTTCGGTATATGGGGGGATCTCGAGGCGAAACTAAAACGTTTGATAAATTGCTTTGTACGATTCATCTTCGGGATACCAAGGGACGCCTCTGTTTCCCGTTTTTATGCAGAGTTGAAGTGGCTTTATCCTTCCTACCGTCGTAAATATTTCCTGGCATCCTTCCTCTTTCAAGTCATCCAATCCCACCGTCCTTCGTACATCTCTGAACTCCTTCAATTCAAATCCTCTATTCGCTCCCGCAATACTCGTTCCCGGTCTTCTGATTTATATAGGTACATAAAGGCCCACTGAACCGCTGCTTTCGACAGATCTTTCATTATCCGATTCTCATCCCTTTGGAACTCCATCCCCTCTCACACTCGTCAATCCAATATCCTTTCTACCTTTAAATCCCGCCTGTTCAATCATTTCTTATCCATCCAGTCCCCATGAAATTGTAAATAGATACTAATGTAAATATGTTGATAAATTATTAGTTCGTTCTTCATTATTTTCAATTTTTTATTTTTTATTATTAACTGATTAAAATTAGAACGTAACTTATAATTTTTCATTTTGGTTTATTATTTTCAATAATGAAACATTGCGATCGACCAAAAAATTCAAAAACATAACCCCCTCTCAAAATTTGAGGTTTCACGTTTCAAGACGCGTAGAATTCGAAAAACGAATAAAACATTTTTTGTCCGTCCGCCGTCCGCGCATTTTCTCCGAAACTACTGGACCGATTTTTTTCAAATTTTGATATAAAATCAGAGGTCACCCGAGGATGATCCTCCTTCATCGACATTACTCTCCGCCTTTAACTTTCAAAATGGCGGCCGAAAAACCTGCGTTGCTATAGACTGTAGCTCCTAAACGAATGAACAGATTTCAATGAAACTTCGCTAAAGTCATTTTCTCGACGCCCTTTAAATTTATCTATATAACATACTTCAACGAAAAGAAGCTGGAAAAAAAGTTACGAGGGATGGTAAAATTAAATTCCGAATAACTCGAAAAGTTTTTACTTTTTTGTAGATGTTGTATATATATATTTTTTTAAACTTTACGAAATTTCCTAAAAAACAAAAAAAGAATCGTTAAAATCGGACAATTAGGAGCAAAGATATGGTTCCGGGTTCTTTTTTTTTATGTGTTCTACTCTAAAAGTTATATCCTTAGTTTGGTTTTTAAATTTTAAATGTGTTACTGAACTAATGCTATTTTTTTTAGCATATTACTAATGATTAAAGAAAAACAGTTTAGTCCAATAATTGGAATCACCTCTTGTTTTTTTTTTCTTTGTAACTCGGAAGGTAATGTTACTTTAGATGTATAATTGTTTGGAAATAATAAACCATTGTGAAATAATTTGCAGCGTTTTTTTTGCAGCGTTACTATGACTGTTTAATTACTCTGTATTTTTATTTATGTATCTCTGAGGCTCCTTCGTCCATATTTATGTCTTTCTGTATTATTCTAAAGGAACTCGTCCCAGAATAAATGAAGTATTATTATTATAATAAACGGCTATTTCGTCGGCTAAAGCGGCAATAGTAGCGCGTTTGTAGTTCTGACCTATGATGTCCGCCGTGTAGATGCAAAATAATAGTGGTGAAAGAATTGCTCCTTGGGGTACACCGCAGGTCAGGGGAACAGTACGGGAGTGTTTATCTAGTACTCGTACAGCCAGGCTTCGGTTTTTTAAGAAAGACTGTATAGTACTATAGAGCTTTTCAGGGCACTAAAGATCAAGTAGCTTCTAGCATGTTGGTTACAAATATTTATTTTTGTTTTCTTTGTTGATTTTATTTATCGAGAAAGTAATAATTGATTTCTTTATCTTATGATTCGTTGCATATTTTCTTAGTAATTTGGTATTTCATCACTTAGCAATGTGCTGTGCGAATTTTTCGCACGGGTCTACTAGTTATAATAATTTATATATTCAATGTCATAATTTAACTGATCCATCTTCACTCATTGACTCCTGACTCTCCTTTGAAGAGAAAGATATATTTGAGAGAGGTAATATCTCAAGGATTATCAGGAGGTTACTAGAATAATTGCTTTCCATAAAAGAGAGGAGATGAAAAAACTAAAACCACCATCTTTGAAATTATAAGTAATTAAAAAAAAAATAGTCCATATTTAGATTAAGGAAAGAAACGGAAATAAAATAAAAAAAGTGTACGGACCTTGATATGCCCTATCTGAAACAGAAACTTCCTGTAACAAACTATTTCAGGAAACGCTCGATAATAAGGAGGAAACTTGCCTAGTCTGTCAATCTTGAGAGCGGTCAAGACGTAACGATTTACTTGATGGATTACTTGCTCAAACAGATTTGTGTAAATTAGTCTAATTTGCACATCTCAGTTGTCTTTTATAAGTATTATTACTGTATTGTACTTATATGAGAAGGAGTTAGTCGAGGGTGCGGTCAAATAAATAAAAAAATTAAAATATATAAAAGATATGAATGTATTTGCCGACGTTTCGACCCACTTTGCAGGTCGTCGTCTTCAGGGCTACAAAATGATACAAAATGTTGAAAAAATAAAAATAAAATGAAAAAAATAATATATGTCTATATAAATTACGTAGAAGTTGTCAGATTCAGAAATAAAAAGATAGAAATTAAATTACTGATAAGAAAATAGATAAAAGAATTATTAATACATGAATGTTAACGAATAAATAGATTGAAAATTTGAATAACTCTTGTTACAGTAAGTTTAATATGGTAAGATAACATAATAATTAGATATCAGTGGATAACAAGCAAGTGGAGGTTACCTTTTAATTGTTATAAATTACCTTTAAGATTACCTTTAATGGTTTTTTACAATTATAGGAAACCTCACACTTGCTTGTTATCTACTGATATCTTATTTTATGGTATATTAATCATATTTTTAACTTTACTGTATCATTACCTATTCAATTTGCAATCTCTTTATTCGTTATCATTCATGTTTTTATTTTCCTTTTATCATTGTTTATCATGGATTTATTTTCTTCTTTTTCTCCATTTTCTTTCATGTATTTATTTTCTTTATCTTTTATTTCTGTATCTGCAATTCTTCGTAATTTATATATACTTTATATTTATTTTTTTTTTTATTTTTTTTTTTTCAACATGTTTGGTCTTCTTGGTAGCCCTGAAGGACGACCTGATAAGTGGGGTCGAAAGTCGGCGAAATTAAATTATTTTATATTTTAATTTTTTTATCCATTTGACCGCACCCTCGACTAACTCCTTCTCATATCGTATCAACGGTCAACCATCTCTACATTATTGTACTTATAATTTATAGGAATTTTTTCAGATTATTGTTTTTTTTTTATTGAAAAATATTACAATCTGTCTCAAAGGACATTTATAATAGTGTATAGAGATCACATTCACACTCTATGTACAATAAATAAAGTAAATTATACAGAAAAATAATATAAATACAATAAATATGAATAAAATAACTAAAAAATAAATAAATAAAAAGAACACATGCATACCTATATACACTATCAGATATTTTTTTTTTTTTTAAATACTGTGGGGAACAGCAAAATTTTCTAATATTAAACGCATCCAATCAGTCCAAAGTCCTTCGAAGAATAGTCGATCTCCTTTTAATGTAATTAACAAAACCCTACATCATGACCTCAACATCCCATTTATCATAGACCTTGTTCCAGAAAAATCCTCCAAATTTCACCAGAACCTTACTTATAATCAAAATCCTCTTGCTCAATCTCTATCAATCACAACTCATCTCTATAATCCTCCGAGAAAGTTAAAACGGCAGTGGCCCTGCGCCCTTTTGTTGTCTATATTGGAGTCTGGCAATGGTCATATTCTCCTCTCAAGAAATAAGTTTATGTGGCTAAAGCGCTCTCGATGACTCTCCACTGGCTTTAATATCAGTGAAGCTATTGAAAGAGTAGGGCAGGGATTTCCTGGAATCCTGCTATTCCCTCCATAGAGGGACAAGATTGCGTCTTTTGAGTTCTTTAATTTACTTTTCTTTAAGTTATTTTGTTCTATTAATTATAAATACTTTTGATTATTATTAATTTTTTTTGTACATATTGTGTGAATGTTATCTTACCTCCCTATAATTTCTATGTGAAAGATTGTTATATTAATCAATAAATAAATAAATTAAAGGAACAAAAACCTTGAGGATAAACCTTCTCAGTACTGCCTGTAAAATCCTGCTTGCCTTTCAGGACAGTTGATTGCCAATAATAAAACAAACTAATTATGCATACACGATCTATATTTCTACAACTTTATTATACTCATATATACAATTTATTACATCAGCCTTCGAACTCCTACATATAGGAAGGAAGCTGAATACTTGAACTACTGAAGATGACCAGCCAATAGAGATTCTTTAGTTGGATATTATTTAATGTCCTTGGCGTTGATCCTGGACAGGACCTGGTTGGCGAGGTGGGTGAATCCAGCGGACATCCCCTTCGATATCGCTGGCTTCAACTCCCTCACTATTTCCTCGTGGTTCTCGTTCAAGAAGAGATTCATGTTGTCTCCTGCAACATAGTTCGTGTTAAATATTTTTAAAAAATGATTAATACCTAAATTCTTAATCAGATATTTATTAGAGAAAGCATTGAGATCGTGAAATTAGAATTTAGAATCCGTTTTCAACGGATATACTTTTTTATGATCCCCTGAATTAAAATAATCAAGTCTTGCAAAAAATGTCTGTGTGTGGGTTGTGCTTTAGAGTTTCATAAATGCTATCGTTGGTATTGTTTAATATTTAATTGTATAGATTACAGCGATATAAATATTAAAATTTGTATGTATAAGAGTACTTGAACAAAATGATACCACACAATAAAAGTGAAATCATCAACAAAGCTACATTAATAATATGAAATTTTTTTTTTACTTAATTTTTGTTTACCCACATCTGTCAGAAGTACAGACAATTAGCGAGTCTGCTGTCGGGAAAATACTAATAGTGGCTTAATCGGCCTGAGGGAAAGAAGTGCCCAGCGGTATACCTTCTTGACTTGAGTTAGGTAGGAAATTCCTCATCCAGCTTCTTTTGAGCTTCCGAAGGATGTTTCGGGTGTTAATCGTGACCATGTCTTGTATCAGTGGGTTAGTATGTCCGTGTAAGTTATTGTTAAATTTATTGTAGTGTGTCCGTATATGGTCGTTAACTGTTGGTTAAAATAGGTCCGGTTTTGATCAATAAAATTACATATCTCTCTTTCTCCTTTAAGTTTGCATAATGCACTACAAAGAATGAACGAATAATAATAAAATGAACTATTATTTAAATATAAACGTAAATGTCTAGTAAAATATGAACACTGATATTTCTACGTATATAATTCATACTTCTAACAATTTTACAGTTTATTTAACTGTTATTTATTCTTCATCTTCATGGCATTATATTTTAGAATTTCTAAATTTAGATCGTTAGATCAATGATGTATTGTAAGAATGCTAATTATAAACACTTGAAAGTTTAGACCGCAGTATTAATATGGATAAATGGGAAATGATCTTAATCTTAATGATAAACGCTACAAAGGTTATAAATGAAATCATTTGAAATCAAATTAAGACAATTATTATCGAAACTTATGTTCCGAATCAAAAATATTATTCGATAGTTGAGTTCAAATCTTTCCGATATCTGTACATTCCATTGGATAAGCAATTTCTATAATCTATTTAGGAAAAAAAATTCTATAAGACTCAGTAATTAAGGAAATAAACTGTTAAAAGAACTTGTGATCAATAAAATAACATTTCTCTCTGTCTGCTTAAAGTTTGGATTATGCACTACTAAATTGAACGAGTAATAATTCATGAACACTAATATTTCTAGGTCTATGATTCACACTTCTAAAAAATTCAAAAACATTTCAATTGATCCACTCCAACCGACTTTATCTGAGCGTTACAAATTGGAAATCTGACGGCTCAATATAATTTACTCTCCACAAAAAAGTGCAAAATGCGCCTAAAGATGTCTTCACTTGAAAAAAAATTCAGTCCTTGTATCATAAAAACATACAACCATTCTTGTTCACTCACCTAGGGCTTTGTCGCCGTTGAAGAGGTTCTGGAAGTCGAAGATGGCACGCTTTGGATTGATGTCTACGTCGAAGCCATCCACTTGCATGTAAGTCTTACCACCTTTAGTGACTTCGCTCATCTTCAGTACCGCCAGGAGGTCCAGTTCCTCTGAAAGAACAAGATAGGTTTCGTTTTTACTTTAACGAAAAATTCGCAGAGCATATTGTTGAGTGATCAAATGACAAATTAATAATAAAATAAAATAAAGGTATCATAAGATAGAGAAATCAATTGTTACTTTCTTGCTAAATATAATCGACAAAGGAAACAAAAATTAATTTAAAACTTCATTAATATTACGAACCAACATGCTTACAAATTTCAATAAGATGTATTTTTGCTTATAATTGTACGATTTCGATGTTGTTTTTTTCATTTTGTGGGGATTTAGTAATTTTTTATATAATCATGGGTATAAACATAGGAAAAAGTGTCTAATTTTTTATTTATTCGCAAATAATGTTTCTTTTCTTTGATAACATTTTTGCCTGAATTTTCGGGGTGATCAGACTAATTTTCCCGCCTGAAGGAGAAGAAACCTTCAAAATTGGTGGCTCAATCTTGGGATTTGATGAAGAATTAACGATGACATGGCTTACCTACAAAAAAAATCTGGTGTGTCCACTCACACGACATCCCTACCTATTTCAGAAAAGTTTTTATATCTTTACATATGTCCATGAAGAAACAAAAAGAAATTGAATTAGATTTATTTTCCTGAAAATTGATCAATTGAGTACGATCTATTTGATAAACTAAAGCAATGTAAACCGGCTTAAGGTAGATCAGTGTAAAAATTTCAATACCCTCTAATATTGCTGTTTCTGTTAAAAGTAGAGGAAATAGTGAAGCTTGTGTGATGCGGGCAAGAGATTTTCTTACTTTCACTTAGTTATATTTTTTCTCGCATTCACCAAGATATGAACCCATAATCTTACATTGGAATAGCTATAACTTCGTCAATAGTTGTTCGATTTTTATATAGTTTTGTAGGGCATCTCATTTCCTTTCAAAATTTTTATTATAGATTTTACCATAGAATATATATTTAGTAATACCAAAATGTTTTTTAAGTAAGACAAAATGGTTTATATGGATATTGAATTTTATTGCAAGTTCTGGATATGTTAAAAAATTAATATTAATAATTAATATTTAATTAAAATATTAAATAATTGGCTTACTGGCTTTGATGGAACACTTGCCGGTCCCCGAGATTGGCAGCATCAACACCTTCCCCTGGATAGCGTACTCTCCTTCACAATCCAGCTCCTTCAGGTGAGCCTTGATCTCCATGGTCTTCCAATCGTTCCTGCCGAGTACAAAGAATTCATCAGGTAGGTGGAATATTTTAAGAAATACTAAAAGGATCAGTTAATCCAAAGGTTCGATGCCGACACCACCAGCAGCTGTCCACAATCCACCGGTCATCATCTAAACCCAACTCCACCAGATCAGCCTGAATGCAATGTACCCATCTTCGCTTCTGTCTACCCTTCGTATGTTTATTTTAAGAAATATACATTTTTATTTTCACTTACTTACATATGAAATATATAGTAAAGGAATGTATTGCGATCGTGAAAATTTTCCAATCTCGGTTTTCAACGGAAATATATGTTTTGAGGTTCCCGCAAAATGGTCTGTGTGTATGTTAACAGTCTAGCTCGAAAACGAGAAGTCGTACGAAAGTGAAATTGCATATTTAAGGTTTTTATATGCTAGGGATGTTACAGTAGCTTTTTCGTCAAAGTCGACAGCCCGGAAGTGGCACTTTATATCTTGGACTAAACACATTTTTACGATTTTCTCGAAAACGGCTCTAACGATTTTGATTAAATTCGCCATATCAGAGTAAAATTAAGCAGTTTTTATTCCGATTGATGTTCTCTAACAGGGTTTTAATGGCTTATTTTCAATATTAGCTTTCCCTAAAGTATCTTTAATTTTTTTTTATTTGAAACAATTGACCATTTCACATTAATCTCTGATATAAATGATATTTATATATAAAATATGAAAGAATTTGATAATTAATTAAAACAGAAATAAGAGATCTCAACGGAAAATAGTTTGGTTAGTAATTGAGGAACCAAAGGAATACGAGCTCGCTTGGGCTCGCCCGAAAGATTAGAACACGCTTCCATACATGAGATTAATATAATACGGACTGTGGCAATATTATATTTATGATTATATGTGATCTTCATAAATGCTATTGTTGTTATTATTTAATATTTCATTGTATATATTACAGGGATATTATTATTAAAATTTGTATATATGAGGGTACTTATACAAATAAAAATACTCAAATGAAATCCGCACCTATCATGGTAGTAACAATTAGCAGATGTGTTGTTAGGTTAAAAATGGCATGATAGGTATGATGAAGAATAGTACACAGCAGCACCTCTTCCCTGTCCTATTTACATCCTGAAATCATGACAGGAGATCTCTCATCCAGCTCCTTTTCAGTCGCCTCCTCATGAGCATGTCAGCCGTGGCCATGTCGTTGATAAGTCCGGGTAATTTAAAATAAAATCGGGAGTAAAGAGTACGTATGTGTTGGGCAATAGTTGGTTGTCTTAGGTCGGTAAGTAAAGTTATGTTGTTGACGTACCAGGGGACTGCAGTTATTAACATTATTAACATCCGCCTGAAACTTCATATACCGCCTGAAACTATTCAGCAAATAGCTTCATCTCATCGTAACCTACAACTATTTTATTTACGAAAACTCTAGGAATTGGGGCGTTTTCAATCTGGAGCGGGGTAAACTTTGTAATTAGGTACTAAAAACTCGTAAATACACATTTGCTTTCTACTTGGATCGTAAGATACTTTTGTCACAAATGGAGAAAAAAAGGTGGTCTACAAAAATATTGGGCCGTTTGTCCTATATAATCTCGTTATTTTGAAAATTTGAGAGTGTAAGTCACGCCAAATGACTTAATATTTTTGAAGGCCATCTTTTTTGTGACGAAATTATCTTATGATTCAGGTAGAAAGCAAATGAGTATTTACGAGTTTTTAGTGATTATTTAAATAGACAAAGTTTGCCCTCTTCCAGATTGACAACGCCCAATTCCAAGAGTTTTCGTAAATAAAATATTTGTAGGTTACGATGAGATGAAACTATTTACGAAGTTTCAGCCGGATGTTAATAATTCGAAAAAAAAGGGGTTTTACTACGGACTATAATGTAAGTTCAATAAAACTCTTGTAAGTCAAAAAACTATTAAACTATTAAAGACCAAGTTAAAATAACTATTACGAAATTTATTTGATCGTCAAACTAGAATGTTAAGATTTAATATAACCATTATAAATTTCACATAAAATATTTCCGTTTTGGATTCATGTTCAACAAGTGAACTCAAGAACAACTCAAGAAGCATAATAATATACTGGTGAAATAGGATTTCCTTTGACAAGTCTTAAGGCTAAAATTAAAATTAAAAAAATATATCATACATTTATAATTTAGAACGTTTTGCGATTTGGATATTATTACTTGATTTTCAACGATAAATAAAATTGAAAATTCATGCAAGCGACCAATAGGCATTGCTGATCTTGTAATCGATTAACTAATGATCGAACTGATTATCGATACGTCATTGAATAATAGCATTGTAATAAGCTATCGATAATATTTAATTTTTGATCACGTCCATTCTGCAACTTTTCCTCCTTGGTAATAACACTCTTCCAAGACCACGTGACCATTTCAAGTGTTGCATTTGAGTAATTGTTTAAGGATTGAATTAATATTGATGCGTCTGGCACGGCGATGTTTATAATCTCACCATCAATTAGTACGATGTCAGATCTGTGGAGTGTCGCGATATCGTCTATTATTATTATTTTAGAATTCCTAACTTCCTCAGACATTGCTGGGAATATTCACTTACCCGGACCTAGGTCAAGGGTTAGGCTCAAATTTTAGATTATGTTTAAAAACTTTCTAACGATATTCGCCGTTCCAAGGAAAACTTCTTTCTGGTATGAGGCCATTGCTGGAGATTACTAGCGGAAATACTTGTATATAATCCAGTCTATAATGCCTAGGCAAATGTAAATGGATTAAGGTCAAATGCTGCCGTAACTCAGGCCATTGTGATTGGTTCCAAGCCCCTTCTTAGATCTCATACAGACTTTCCCATCCTCCTTAATGACCAACCAATCTCCTTCTACTCCTCTATTAAAAATTTAGGATTTTTCATTGATCAAAACCACTTCTGGAATTTGTGATCGGGGCCCAAAAATACTCCCATATCTCTCACCACTACGCTGAGTTAAAGTGGCTTTTCCCCTCCTTCCGAAGACAATATTTCCTAGTTACGTTCCTCTACCAAATCATCAACAACCATCGTCCTTCTTAAGCCTACAACCTTCTACAGTTCAAATCCTCAGTCCATTCCCAGTTCACAAGATCTCGAGTTTCTAACGTTTACATGCCTTCTCACAGATCTTCCTCATTCCAAAAATCCTTTATTGCTCGCTCTGTCAATTTCTGGAATTCCCTCCCTATCAAAATTCGGCATTCCCCATCCATATCCACATTCAAAACCCTCCTATTCCAATTCCTATCTCAAAAACAGTCAGATAGTTGCTAACTATTCGACAACATACATTTATTTCATGCCATTCCTTGTCAAATATCAAGGCTAAATGATAATGTATTTATATATTAATCAGGCACTTTATATTGTCAGAGCTTTCTATTTTCTCAACAGAAACACAAACCTGATTTTAATAAAGAATTTAATATATTTTTATTTTTTAACTCTTTATTGTTTTCTTAAAAGTGTATACTGGTCTATCAGTGCAAATAGTATGTGTGTTTTCATAGTATTAATTGCTCTATTTTTCCGTTTTTCGATCAGAGTCTCTTCTGTATAAACATCTTTGTGCTTTGTCGGAATCAAGTTTAAGGCAGTGTAGCCATCGCCCAATAAGCTTATTGCTGACCATTTGGGAGAGTTACTGTGTAAAAAAGAGCATCTTAAATTATTTTCTTGTTCTCTGCAGCTGCAGTTTGTAATAAACACAGTTGTTATTATTTCTAGATATTATTATTATCATTACTTACTTGACCTCCTGGATCTCTATGTTGGACAGTCCCTTCATGTCGAAGTTCTTGAGGTCGAGCTTGATGGTGACCGGGCCAGTTCCTTGGTTGACGGACATCGTAACGAACCGGAAAGGTTCGATCGGGTGAACGCCCATCTTCTTGTTACCTATGGAGGAAGAAATAAGTTCAGTCAAAATCTATTTTTCCTCCTATTCTCAGGAGGTATACGAGTGCCATGATATGAGAATGGAAATCTATTGAGAAGTTACTGAAGAAGTATTGTTCCAAGCGAGAGTAATCATTTAGTTCTGTTGAATCGGTCCAGTTAGTAGTTACTTGTTCTCAGGGGGGCGGGTTGGCCGAGCAAGCTAATGCGTGTACAAAACACAAGTTGCCTAACAACCTGATGAAATGATAATTACAAGTTCGCATCCTGGTTGGTTAACATTGAATTCTATTGAACATTTATGACTTTAACCAAAACCTCTAGGTACATTCTTTATTTATTGATTTTTATTGTATTTTATATAGATAGATAGATATTTTATTTGTTTTTGGGGGGTTCCCCATACAAATAGAGCCTAGCTTGGCTATAGTACAATAATATGGTTTTACAAATTCACATACATATCATTTAAATATAAATAAAATTTACAATATTTTCCGTTTAGACTGGGTTTCACAAAACATGAATAACAATAAAAATTAAAAACATAAAACGATTACTGCATAATAATAGTTATATGAATCTGTTACTATCATAGAAACAATAAACAATAAAAATATTTATAAATATAAACAAAATATTACTTTTAAGATAAACTAAAAACAAACACTTAATAGAAAATTGGCTATGATCAACAATTTTGTGTATGTACTTTGTGTACTCCCATCATATAATAGTAAATTTTATTTAACTTATCTATACAATCGATATTCAGTATGGTTTCGATGTTGTGGTTATAAGAAGATTCTGAGATGAAGTTTTGAAGGAATTTTTCTCTATAGTCATTGTATGCTGGGCAGTGAAGGTCTTTTATATATCTATGCGTATATTTTTTTAAAAAATTTAGTTTGATTATTCCCTTAAGTCTTTTTCTAATAGGGTGTATAAAAAAAAATGACCGTTTTTAAACCGAATATTTGTATTATAATTTTCTTGATATAAAATACAATTAATACTCAAAGTATAGTCCACTGTTATCGAGGTCGGGATGGCCGAGTATGTTAATGTTGTCCGTTTTAGCATCCTTTTGCCTAGCGAGGTCAGTTCGAATCCTGCCTGGGAGTGGTTGATTTTTATTTCAAGGCGGACCCATGGAATGAAACTCAACCCTCCCACTCTGGTTAGAATAGGTTTGGTTGTAACTCTAGAAGAACTACCCGTATGCCAGAAATGATGGGTAGGGAGGGAGTTATCCAATAAAAAAAGAGTTAGCATTCTGTTGCCGAGAACTTTATCCCCCGCCCTCACGCCTGGGGCGGAAAAAAAATCCGTATGGCATAAAAGGCGAGGAAGAGAAGGACAAAAAAGAAGTTAATTGTCCCCTGTCAAGTTTAAGGGAGTATAAGGGTGTTCGCTACATCTGTCGTCGTCCGGTTGGTGTAAGAGTCTGAAACATTGGGTTTGTTAACAATCTACAATTATTTTTTTAGAAGTAGTTGATCGGGGGGTGTGGTCAAATAAATACTAAATTATAAAAATAGTATTATTAATTTATTACACCGACGTTTCGACCCACCTTGCAGGTGTTCATCAGGGCGTAGCATCGGACACTGCAGGAGGGAGTTGATAGACATGTACATCAACGTGACTCCTTCTCATATTATATCGCGGTCAACCTTCTCTACATCATTACAATTATTTTTGTTTACAAACATTAATAAAAATATATTTTGAGATTGTGTTCAGGTAATAAAAAAAAAAGAAATTTTGAAGTGTGAGGTTCAGTACTTTGTGAAGAAAAATTTTTTATGTTCATCGTTTATGAAACAAGAAGATGATTTGACCAAAATGTTTTCCCTCTTATTAGAGACTAGGGGTGCCCCAGGAAGGTGTCCCGATTGAGCCGAACTCGAATTCAAGATCCAGAGCAAAGGAACAAAATGCCTTATTCATTTATCTAAGTCACTTCTCATAATGTGATACTTTTTACGAGTATTATGTATCTTTAGAAACAAATTCTTGTAACCATAGCTTAAGAAGAAAAAAATTGTTTTTCGTTCACGGTCAATATCCCATTAAATTAATTTTTAAACGGTTTAATCTGTTTCAAATTTGCTGCATAGTGGTTACTGTATTGAAAATTTTCAAAAAAAAAGTTATCATTTATTAATCCCAATAGGACATCCTTCTACGTCAGTTTTGTCTTTTTTCCTGCTACGAAGCCTTATCAAGGTTAGAATTATCAAAATGTTTTAAAATAAATCCTTTTTTACTTTCACTTACCTAGATATTTAATATATAGTAAGGGTAAGTATTGCGATCGTGAAAATTTTTTAATCTGAGTTTTCAACGGAAATACGCGTTTTGAGGTCCCCAGAGTCCAAATAACCAAGTCCCGGAAAATGGTCTATGTGTGTGTGTGTTAACAGTCTAGCTCAAAAACGAAAAATCGTACGGAAGTTAAATTACATATTTAAGGTTTTTTATATGCTAGGGATATTACAGCATTTTTTTCGTCAAAATGGGCAAAGCGGAAGTGGCACTTTATATAATGGACTAAACACATTTTTACGATTATCTCAAAAACCTCTCCAAATATTTTGATTAAATTCATTATATCAGTGTAAAATTAAGCAGTTTTAAATAACATGTGGTTATTATTCTGAGTTCTCTAACAGGGCTTAAATAGCTTATTTTCAATATTAGCTTCCTAGAAAGTATCTTTATTTTTTTTTATTTGAAACAATTGACCATTTCACATTAATTCCTAATATGAAAAATGGTCAAATATAAAGGAGAGATAAGAAATCGTAGCGGAGAATAGTTGTAATTGGGGGACCAAAGAAATACGAGCGCACCCGAGCTCGCCCGAAAAATTAGAAAAGGCTTCCATACGTATTATGAGCTTAATATAATACGGACAGTGACAATATTATATAAATATACATAAGTGGTTTTCATAAATGTTATTTTTGGTATTTAATTGGTATTATTTCATATTTAATTGTATAGATTACAGCGATATAAATATTAAAATTTGTATATATGAGGGTACTTATACAAATAAAAATACCCAAAATTAAATATAAATAAATATAGAGTCTATAATTTTTACTTTTGCTTCGCTTTGTCTGAAAATACTTATTTCTGTTAAGAAGGGGTGGTAAGTGAAAGTTGTGTGATGCGCACACCGCACCAAATTTTTCATTCTTGATCTCTTATAGCATATTTCCAAACAAATTCTAACCTTTTCCATTACAAATATAACCCTTTATGAATAAAATTTAACCTTAAAGAGCGAACAAGAGGGAAAGATAACATTTGAAATGGAAAAGGTTAAAATTGGTTTGGAAATGCTATTATGAGACCAAGAATGAAAAAAGAGTTTATTTTTAAACTTTTTGATAATTCTAATCTTGATAAGAGTTCGTAGCAGGAAAAAGGCGTCGAAGCTGATATGTGATTGGTCGATTTCTTAAGTTTACTCGTTCGCTGAACGTCACCTGTTCAGGTTTAGCGTCTTCGAGGTCACACCTCTCGTTTCGATCCAACCGTTCTAGGTGTTTTTTGTTTTGTTTTTTAGACGAAAATGTAACATAATGACTTCTCGTTATCCTCAGATCTATTTTAATGGCTCAAAGACATATTAAATGCTAATTATATGAAAACTGTTTCATTTACGTCATTCACCAATCATAGTCCCCGCCACTGCGGAAGCAAGAATCGATTTAAATCCCTAATTATTAGCAGGATAATAGAAAAAAAAATCGATTATTTAGAACTTAATTCCTCTACTATTCTTTATCAGTAAAAAAAAAATATATCTTTTAACCTTTAAATTGATTACTCATTTTTACTTTCACTTACCTATATAGGTAATATATAGTAGGGGAAATATTTAATCGTGAAAATTTTCCTATCGCTTTCAATATTTTAATCGATTTAGAATTTAGAATTTTCAATAGAAATATTGAAGGAAGTTAGTCAACAGTTCTATATATCTATCGAAATATTTAGTCAGCAAATTATTTACATTCTAAAAACAGAAATGTTATTTCCCCCTTCCCCTCTGACTATGTTTATTTACCTTTTGCTATCCGAAAAAGGACAACTGAGAAATCCTCCCCTCCCCCCCCCCTGACCTTTTGACTTACCTATCAAAAATGTGTCAGTACTTGAACACCCTCAGTGCTCAAACCATGGTTAGTAAGAGAAAATATTACAAATTTGTACAAATGGATTATATGCATTATTTTTTAATTTTTAGTTTGTATAACTATTTACATATTTCATTTTTGATATGTGTATTGTAATATTAGTTAAGGTTCATGTACCATCGATCACTATAGTTTATTATTTACCATTATTGATTGTATAATATTATATCTCTGATTGTATTTTTTTAATAATTTCAGCTCTGAAAATGACCTACATGTTTGGGTTGAAACGTTGGCATAAATAAAAAATTAATTTAAAAAAAAAAAAGACTGCGTACTGAATATCTATCACCCATTCGATGGAAATACATGTTTTGAGGTGTGTTTGTTGCAATCTAGTTCATAAATGAAAAGTCGTACAAAAGGAAAATGTACATTTAAGTTAAGTATATGTCGGGGATGTTTCAGCAACTTTTTCTTCAAAATTGACTAACTGGAAGTGGCACTGTATATCATCGATTTTACGTATTTTTACAATTTTCTGAAAAACAGCTTCAACGATTTTTATTAAACTCGGTGTATCATTGTATAATCAAGTGGTTTTTAATATCATTTAGGTGTTATCCACATTGATGTCTATAAGCTTCAAACTTTAGCTTCGTTAAAAATGCTCTTCAAAAATTTTGTAATAGCCCAACATTGCCCGAAAACATTTTCTATTTTCGCGCACCAGATATTTTTATTTAAACACTTAGCTTCCAATGCTAAAGGTCCCAGGTTCGAACCCCGGCTCATGGCAGAAAAATTATTTATTCTGTTTCATTGGCCGTGGGGCGACCCTGGATCGGGAGACCCTCCTGGGGCAGACCCAGCTTCTATAAAGTGGTTACCCGTAATTAAAATAATTGGTTGAGGAGGAAAACCTGGTGGTTAAGCGTGATCTCGGTCAAATCACCTCCTTGCTCAACCGTTGATCTAGAAACAGTGCTTTTTCAAAATATTGCTGAACCCCAGACCCTTCATGGATTGTAGCGGTACAGGTTGTATACTGTATATTATATGAAGATCGACAAATAACAATGCTAATTTATGATAAGTTAATTTACAATTTTTTGGACCTATTCTTCATTCCAAAATACATAAACAAATAAAAATGTCTTTATCAATATTAAAATATGCCACTTAATTATGTCATATATACTTGTAACGTTTCGGCCCCTTGGCCATTTCTTTAACATTTTATTACCACATGTCTAAATTTTTGTAAATTTATTTGTCAATCTCCTCTAGAGGAACGTTATAAATATATATGATGTAACTAAATAAAAATTTTGATAAAGACATTTTTAGTTGTTTATGTATTTTGGAATGAAAAATGGTACCAAAAATTTGTTAATTATCTGTTTATAAAATTTATTTTACCTGATTTGAAGAACTTGATTGCATTTGTGATCTCCGTCTTAAGGCAGTCGCCGTAATCGTTGGATCCCATTTTGCATGGCTTCAGGTTGCCCGCTGTAACAAAAAGTAGAATAATTTGTCTTTATTATATTTTTTTAATTATTAATATATTGATATTTATATCTGTAAAATTAATAAAACAAGTAAATTTGTCATAAGAATACAAAACATGATAGGAACTTGTGAAGAAGCTACTCAATGGTAGCACTTCAATGATTAGATTAATTTAGCAGGTCGCTGGGCCATCTTCTTTTCAGACACCTCAGAGGGTTGACAAAAATCATTTTGGATGAAAGGTATTGAACCAGAGTGTTAGGACGACTAAGGAGAATTAAGATAAGAATATCTGATTCGGACCATATCTGCGATAAAGGGAATAAACTTTTATAGAAAAAATATTTGTGGATAAACGAAATTCATGCTTACAAAATAATTTTAAAATTTCATTTAAGCAGGATCGAACTAGAATTTTGCCAGAATTTTTCGACAGGATGGGCTTAAGCTATAAAAACTCTCTGACGAAATTCTTGGTTCCGATCATGCTCAAATCTTTCTCAAGGTTTATCCGTTAACTGAGACAGAGAAACAAAATGGCGTCGATTCAAAGGACATCCCTGCTTTAGCTCTGGGGTCAGGGCCCAAAAATTGAACTGATCGCAGGCGAAGGTTTCATTGTAAATTAGGAAAGTGTATGTTATCCTGAATAAAAAGAACCTCGTCTGTCGTTCCAGAGCCGCTGCTTTCAAAAATGGCGGCTGATTTAAAGAATATTAGGCCAGTAATTTGAGGATCGAAACGGGAAAGCAGCTGGAAGAGGAAGCCAGGCACTTGAGGCCTGGACACGAAGGCGAGAAGACGTCACCTGGGAAGAGAGGCTTACTACATTGAAGACCAAGAACATCAAGCCTACAGTTATAAGACTTTTATACATTCATTTATTACAGTTGTTAAAATAAATTGTTTTATTATACAGGAGATGAAAAGTCATTTTATTTAGTCGTCCTATAGGCCTCACAGCTGAATAATAACAAACCAGGTGAGTCAATTCATTCAAAGTGTATTTACTAAGTCCCACATTACATACATATATTCTTATTGTTTCTTCTCACTCAGTGTCACAAAAGGTTAGATTAGATTCCCGAATTCCCAACGACAGTTAAACACCCTCAAAGAAGTCTATATCCAGTGCCTGGGTTTTGTTTTAATAATCACGAGTGTAAATAACCTAGTTCCCCTATAAAAAGCGGAAGGCTATTCGCTATTCCCGCCAAAAAAAAGGTCTTTAACAATTAACCATTAACATGTTATTTGCAAGGTTCCAACTAACAAATTGGGGCAACTTCGGTTCACTGAGTGAAAAGAGTCCCACACGCGCTGTTATTCAAATCTACTTAGGGATAGTTATTGATAATCGAAATTTTCCTCTACTACGCACTATATTCTATCTGAAACAGAAAAGATGATTATATATTTTTTTCTAACGATGAGATTCAGATATAATTTCTAGAGATTATCACATATAATTAAAACGATGTTTTTTTATTTATGAAATTAACTGCAAATGTGATACAGATAAACACATGACATGACAAGGCTTGTAGAGAATCCACCCATTGGTAGCACTCTAATAAAGTTTCTAAATTAGGAGATCACGAGGCCATATTCTTTTCAGACGCCTAGGAGGGTTATCAGGGATCAAGGAGGAAGCAAGGTTAGAAACGAGTGTATAAGTATGGTTCTGAAGTTTATTGCGGAAGGATAGGTATCTGGATTGGGCCAAATCAAAAACATATGGAGCATTATGGATTTTACATAGGATTTTGGATTGTAAAGATTGGATACGAGAGGAATTCGATGGTTTAGTGGAACCCCAAAGCTCAACTCCGTAAGTCCAAATAGGTCTAATCGTAGTCATGTATATGATTTTTTCGTAATTAATTGAAAGCTTAGAGCGTTTGTCTAGTAAGTGTTTGAGTAGTCGGAAACATCGAGCAGTTTCTTGTCATTTCAGTCTGGTAAGAGAACTCCAAATTAGACGTTTGTCCAGATGGAGCCCTATGTATTATTATAATTAAAATATCAAAGGGACGATACTGATAGTAGATAATGTCGAAGTAGGTATTATTGATGGGAAAATATCGAACATCGGAAAGAAAATATCGATATTTCCATAATATCAAATGTCGATGGCCATCTCTACTCCGGATTCCGAAAACTAATGAAAAGGCTTTGAATATAACTGTGGTGAAGAAAGTAATGTACACAGTCTTATCTGTAAAGTTCTTTCCTTACATATTAACAGTTATTATTATTTTTTTAATTTTTATATTCCATCACTACAATGCTTTACCTATAAAATAGATTTTACTTTCCTTTCTAATTTCATTCAGTGATTATTATGCAATTATTTTAGCTCCAATATTGTAGTACTGAGCCCCTATTACCCAACTGTCCTCGTTAATTTATCCTAAGAGCTTAATTAATACTTAATTTATTACAAGTATTTAGTTATTATTCATTGTAATAAGTCTTTTGGCCAGATTTATGGTTAATATATATGAACAATACTGTTATTCTAAAGGGACCTAGTCCCAGAATAAAGATGATTTTTCTATTCTATTCTAAACCTTGCTAAAGTGGGTATTGCACAGTAATGCGTGACATCCCACTTCAGCAAACATTATCCATAAGGCAGAGAAGGGTGGAAAATGAAATAAAAATAAAGGACAATTCGTTTGGTGCAGTATCCATAACGGATTTTTTTCTCCATTAGTTAATCATCAGTAGGCTGTTGAACCGCGCGTCAATGGCCAGGTGATGAATATTGAAGGTAACGAACTGACAGGTACCCAACAACCATTAACAGGTTTCACAAAATTTAACTGTCAGTGGATCGCTACGCTAATATATTCCTATACTAGAAGTCCCAATACTGGTATGATAAACATTTTTAAATATATCAATATAAATATTATTTCTCTAGCACATAAGCGGAACAAATAAGATGTTATTTTTCTCTTTAAATTAATTAATGGAAATATCAATTCTTCTATCCTCCATAGTAAAATTAATTTTATAGTTCCTGTCCAACTCCGTCATCCTCCACTTTTTTCCAGAAATTTCTATTAAACCAATTATACCTTCCATTCATAAATAAACCGGCTTCAGCGAAATGCTAATTTATTTTGTATCATACGTGAATTTCTTTGACACTTGGCTTTGGTATGAGAATTCTCTGACCAATAAATTTAAGCAAATTGAGTTTACTGAGTGTGAAGAGTACCACGCTCGCTATTCAACTCTACTTAGATATCGCCATCAATAGTCGATATTATCGAAATATCGATTATTTACTCTACTACGCACTACACTTTTTTATAAAACAGACATGATGAGTATCATTTTTACTTTCCTACCTATACTAGGTAAAGAAAGTATTGCAATCGGGTCAAATTTCCGACATGCGGTTTCTATACGTTTCACAGCCCCTGAGTCCGAAAAAAACGCCGTTTAACCTGTCGTTTGAAAGGTAATTAAATTAGCAATAAAACTCTATAAAAATCGTTCATTTTGGACAACTATTAACGAAGTTAGAGCTATTCAATTTCCAATGAAAGATTACTAGTTCATTTCCTGGTGTCAGAAAGGGGCGAATGAGAGAATAAAGATGACTAAGTGAAATTAAGAAAGTCTGTTGCACGCATCACACAACCTTCACTATTTCCTCTACTTTTAACAGAAATTATTGTTTGACAATACTAAGCTACGGCAAAAAGTTTTTGATCAGCAATATTAGTGAGTATTGAAATTTTTACACTGATCTATCTTAAGTCGGTCTCATTGCCTTAATTTATCAAATAAATCGTACTCAAATCTTTTGTTTGATCAATTTTCAAGAAAATAGATTTAGTTCAATTCTTTTTTGTTTCTTCATGAACATATGTAAAGATATAAAAACTTTTCTGAAATAGGTAGGAAAGTCGTGTGAGTGGACACACAAGATATTTTATCTAACGATGAGATTCATATATAATTCTTAGGGCTTTCCAAAAACGATAGTTTTAAATTAAAATATTAAAGGGATGATATCGATGGAAAAATATTGAATATCGGAAGGAATATATCGATATTATATCGATATCGACTATACAGCACAGAGACAACCTTTTATAAAATTTTAAGCATGTTGCTGACTCAGGAGTTAGTATTTCCCACGGACAACTATGTGTTGCCTTTTATATGCATACAGCGGTGTAAAAAAGGTTTTGAATAAACCAAATTTTTATTAAAATGATACATTTTTAAATTAAAAAGTATTTTTATCTTCTTAATAGTAAAATGATTCAAGCCTGCAGAGATTGTAAATATTATATATATATATATATATATATATATATATATATATATATATATATATATATATATTTAAATTAGCATTATTTTCAATTAACAATGAGCCAAAATACCAATCCGTAGTGTTGACGTTTGTGAACTGGAAAAATTCAGTATCACTTCTGGCGTAGCATTGTGAGGTGATACATAAAAAGTAAGAGATTGTTTGTTGTTTTTATCCATTTTTCTCTTTTCCATCTACAAGATTGTGTATATTTTAGACGTATTTTATTTCTTACATTCCTCAATTTGTATACATATATATCTTTCTATCTCCGCTGGCTTTTAATACCAGTGAAGTAGTTGATGGAGAAGCGCAGGGATCTCCTGAAGCCTTACTTTTAAGTATGGTTCGGAGTTCCCATGGCAGACTGTAAATAGTGTAAATAGGTATGCCTGCATCTAAGATGTTTATTTTCATAACATTTTTTTAAAAATATAATCTTATTTTATTTTTTCTATTATTACTATTATTTATATTTTCTTCCTTCACTATGATATTTCATTTTGTTCTTATTTAGCTTTATATTATTTTGAAATTACCTTATTTAATTTGTAAATATAGTGTGAATGTGCTCTCAGAACTCTATTATAAATGTCCTTTATTGAGACAGATTGTAATATATTTTTTTTTTTTTTTTGTTCCTTTTCTTTTTTTTCCA